ATCTAAAGGTTACATTTTTGCTTGTAATTTAAATTTTTTACCTACTGTATTTGCATTTGTATCAAAACTAGTATTGGTATTCCTCCCATTAGCTTAATTCTTAATTGACATAATTTTTTCCTATTTTCTCTTCAAACATATTTTACAGGTGAAATTTTTATACCTTCAACACAAGGCCGGAAGAGTGCAATGTATGGATCGGATTCCAATTTTCGTTCTGAGTTCTGTTGTTTAATTTTCATAATCTGATTTATGATACGAGTTTTGTGGCTAATTATAGAGGGAGAGCAGATGATGAATATCATACGATAATTATGCTGCAACAATTAAGAGAATGAATAATATCTATTATATATTTCTTTTAGTCCTTAATTAGTTTAGTATCTTCAATGAACTTCTATCGTATGCCTTTTCTAAATCAACTTTAATCACCACCATCCCATTGCTCCTCGTTTATTCCTCATTGAATTCAAGACTTCTTGATATGCAAGAATGTTATCCGTGATTTGCCTCTCCGGTACAAATTAAAGCTAGTTTGGTGGGGCCAATTAGCTACTTTGATACATCCTTTAGTCTAGATGCCATGGTTTTGGTCATCAGCTTATACGACAAATTACATAATCCAATGGGGCGCAATTGTTTTATCGATTCGAGAATATGGTCTTTGGGAATAAGTGAAATTAGGGTGTTATTACATACTTTTACAGCACGTTTGATTCACGGAATGAATTTTGAGGTAATAGGAATGATATTCCATAAGGAATGGAATAGGCAAGGAATAGAATAGGAATTGTATTCTATTGTTTGGTTCGCGGAAGGAATAGACTTTAGGAATTATATTACAGTGTTTGGTTGATTTAAAGAATAGAAATGAAATATGTTTTAAAAGACATAAATACCCTTATAAAAATATGTGATGGTGGCGATGGTGGTGGTGGTGGTGGTGGCGGTGGTGGCGGTGGTGGTGGTGCTGGGGTGGTAGTGGTGGTGGTGGCGGTGGCAGTGGTGGGGGCGACGGTGGTGGTGGTGACGGTGATGGTTGTGGCAGTGGTGGTGGGGACGGTGACGGTTGTGGCAGTGGAGGTGGTGGTGGTGGCGGTGGCGGCGGCAATGGTGGTGGCGGTGGTGGTGATGGTGGTGGCGGCGGTGGTGCTGGGGTGGTAGTGGTGGTGGTGGCGGTGGCAGTTGTGGTGGCGGTGGCGGTGATGGTGGTGGTGGCGACGATGGTGGTGAAATAGGATAAATTTATATATAAGATAAAAAAAAATTAGGTTAAAGAAATGGGTAAAAAAGAAAATAGATTCTAAAATATATTCATGAGCGTTCAGTAATAGGCTAATACAGGGGGCCCTAGTAATAGCTATTACCTTATTTGAGGTAATAGGCTATTACCAGGAATATTATTCCTGGTAACAGAAATGGTTACCAAACAAAGGAATAGGCCTATTACTGGGAATGCTATGCCATTCTCGGCCTATTCCGTGAACCAAACGGGCCATTAGAAATTCACCATCCCTGAAAAATTTCAATGCAAATCTAGTAGACTCTTCCCAACTATATTCCAAGATTTTTTATAAAAACTTGCGTTATAGCCGCCTGGACCAGGTGCTTTACAAGGAGCCATATCAAATAGGGCTAACAGCCCTCATGAAGCTGCGGGAGAAAAGCATGATCACAGAGCCAACGCCAGATTTGGCTTATTAGAGAAGGAGGAAATTGATTGTGGTCAAATGTCACTTTCCCTTTTTGAACCACACATACAAAGACGAAATTACCCCTTATATTAAGATTAATTGGCTAATTAAAAATTTTTTTGTGAGATTTGATTGGCAATTTGGCCGGAGTGACCAAAATTGATAAAAATTGAATAGTTAACGTACTAAATTAACAATTTTAACTTGGCAATGTTGGGTAAACAGGCATGGAGGTTACTTACTGATCCTGACTCATTAGTGGCTCGTGTTTATAAAGCCAGATATTATCCTAAGGAGTCTTTTTACGAGGCAGGCGTGGGGAATAATCCTAGCTATTGTTGGCGTAGTATTATGGCAGCAAAGGAGCTAGTTTGTGGTGGGTAAGACGACGAATTGGGAATGGAAACACTACCTTAGTATGGGAGCACGTACCCCTGGACAAGATGATTTAGACCCAATGATTCAAACTGAGATGCCACCACAGTTAGCTAGAACTAAAGTCGTGGGTCTCCTGGATCCAGGTACCGGCTCATGGGACCAACACCTGCTCACTGATATATTTCAACCAGATGATATCCCAAAAATCCTCGAGATTCCAGTATCCCCAGATTATGATGATGTATGGTATTGGCACAGGGATCCTAATGGTTGTTACTCAGTCAAAGACGACTATAGACGCATAATTGGAAACTATTCTAACACCAGTAATGGGGTTTTTGATGGATGGCTAGCTTTATGAAAAATCAAAATACCTCCCAAATGGAAAACATTCCTATGGAGAGCTCTAAGTGATATCCTCCCCACTAAGAATAATTTGATTATAAAGAGAGTAGAGGTGGACCCGATGTGTGCCATGTGTGGGATTGTTCATGAAAATATTATGCATTCGTTAGTATCGTGTAGATATGCAAGGTCCATTTGGAGCCAATCTAGCCTCCCACTCCCCCACATTGTGACAAATATTTTCCATGAATGGTTTAGTACAATCTTAAATGTTCTAGACAGTGGAATATTGTATGCAGCTTCTATTTTATATCATATATGGAGAGCAAGAAACAGACCGGTTTGGGATGCCTGTCTACCGCTGCCAAGGAAGGTGCTTGTAACACCTATGGCCACTATGCAAGCGTGGAACATGCTCCACCACCGAACGCCCAGCTCAGCCGCGAGGAGACACTCCACGGCCGATGGAGCCGCTCACACCGCACAGCAGGCCGAACTCCAGCAGGTGGTCTCCGTCGCGACCGAACACTTGCATCAACCGCCACTGCCACATTCCGGCCAGCCCGTGGGAACGCCAAGACCCAAAAAATGCTTCATGGATGCAAGCTATCATCAGGATACCAGTTCAGCAGCGGCGGGGGCGGTACTACTAGATGCCGACAATCACTACGTCTCAGCCTTCAGCGCCCCCCTACTAAGTTGCTTCTCCCCACTCATGGCTGAGGCATACGCATGTAAAGAGGTTTTGTCATGGTTAAGAGGACGTGGCGAAGATTCAGTACAACTACACACTAATTGCCAGACACTACAACGCTACCTATGCGCACCGAATACCCCGTCCAGGTCATATGTTGGATATGCTATCGATAGTTGCAGGAATTATATGTCTAATTTAAGCTATTGCTCAGTCAGTTTTGTTCCTAGATTATAGAATTTATTAGCACATACTTTAGCTACTTTAGCTTTTAATTCTGCCACGGCTATGTACTGGGACGATGTCCCACCAGACTCTATTTCAGTTTATCTATAAATACAACCACATTGGTTGACCTTCAATAAAAATTAATAATTTTAAAAGTCGTGGATTGCAATTAACAAGACCTCAATAGTGATATGACAAAATAGAAATTTTACTCCCGCACAAAGCAACTTCAAGGTATTCCTTTTGGGGATTATTGTTTGAACACCACATACCACGTGAGGAATTTTGTAGAGGTCAACCACTTAGAATCTGCGCAAGCTAGCTTTGTGGATATCCCCAAGACACCTCAACTGTGGGAGCAACGATTTCCACCACAGGAACAAAACACTACGTCCATACAAAATGTATGTTGGATTTGGATCCTACGTTAGTTGGGAATTCATTGGGTTACTCAAAACGATTCTCTTTGAATTCTACCAAGTTTTCTGTCCAGAATCTTAAGAATCCAACGACAATGGGAAAAGAATTAACTTAGTTTAGGGTATAAACTAACTTAACATTTGTTAAAGTTTAATTAGTTATAAAATAGGTTTAATAGTTAAAAAGTAAAATTTGGTTTTAAAAAGCTAATAATATTTACAAAAAGATGAACAAGTGTCAATTGAATAACGCACTCAACTTATCATTTTTGTGTAATTAGGTAACTAATTTTAAGTATGCAATCGAATCACCAAACAAGCAAAATATATGCAATTGAGACATTAGGAATAATGAGTACGTCTAATCCGTATTACATTATGAATATTATTAAGCTCAATCATTATTAAACCAGCAGTTATACCATGGACTCGGGACCACCTTACAAGGTGGATCCAGATTCAAAATACACAATTACATACCGAATGTTCACAATTTGAATAGTGAACATTTAGTATATAAATTGGATGGTATACTGGACCCGGGTCCACAGAATAATGTGCCTTATTAAACTCCTAAGTTGTTCGTTATTGTGTATCCTTTTTGGACTTTCTTGATCCAGTTACTTTCTTGGGCCAGTCCATATGGCCCTGGCCCAGTATACCATCCATCAAGATTCGACAATTTATATCGTGGACCCTAGTCCAATACACATAATTTGACTTGATAATGTACAGAATACATGTTCATAATGTACAGAATTTATATTCATAATACACATATATAAACATGATGTAATGAAGACACATAAACACTTAACATAATGCACATAATTTGACTTCATAATGTACAGAATCCATGTTCATAATGCACATAATTCATGTTCATTATATCATGTTTATGTGCGTGTATGTGTATTATGAACATAAATTCCATGCATTATGAAGTCAAATTATGTGTATTGGACCAAGGTCCACAGTGCACTGTGGACCCTGGTCCACGATATAACGATTGATCAAGATTCTACCTAGAAAAATGTCTCAATTGCACATATTTTACTTGTTTAATGATTTAATTGTACATTTTTTAAATTTAGTGACTCAATTACACAAAAATAATAAACTTAGTAGCCTATTTTACATTTTTTTTTTCAAAAAAAAAAATGATGGAGCCATTGACATGATAGAAACAAGATGAAATAGATGAGATGATGTAAACAAAGCTACTATACATACATACATTCCCGGGCTAGCTAGTTGCCTTAGCTTATTCCAAAACCAATATATATAATATAATGGTATCACAAGAGAAGCCGTCCCCAATATGCCGTTTTGTCCTTTATTGTGTATAGACAGATACTATCTGCAAATTAAATCTACATCTTTTGCTCAATTCTCAAGCTCCCATCCCATCCTCTCATCTCCATGGATGCAAAGCTTGTTCAACGCTTTGAAACGCCAACAATTATTGTTCATCGCCATCACAGGACCACAACCAAACGCCATCATCTGCCATTGCTAATTCGCGCCGTAGTAGCAAAGCCAGCAGACAATAATAATAATAATAGTAATACTAAAACAACGTTGTCGTCTTCATCGTCGAATGTTTACCATGATACCTGGTTTGATCGGCTGGCCATCAACCATCTCTCCCACTGCGTAAAAGCTGTAACTGGTAATCAATCCCTCAGCCCTCTCATCTTTTTGTTTAAATTTGGGGCAAATTTTAATTTGAATTCAAATTATTATTTATTGCAGGAGTGAGAAGTAGCAAGAGTGGGTATGATGGGTTGGTGGAAATAACAAGAGCAGTTTTCCATAATTTCGATTCAACCCAACAGCAAAGCCTTATAATCCAAGCTCTTCACAAAGCAATACCAAACCCCATTCTTATGCTTGTAAGTTCTTCTACTCTTAGTTGTTGTTGTATGTGTGTGTATATATATATGTTAATTCTATTTTTTTTTTCTAGATTTATAGTTGTTATTTCAATTCACTTTTAGTCTTTTTTTTTTTTTTAGAACATTCCATGTTGGTTCTAGTATTATTGTGGCATGATGGTTTTTTGTTCTTCGTCAAAAAATCTATTTAAATGGCGTTAATATGAGTACGTTTCGATCGTTTTATATAAAATGGGCTGGCCATTTATATTTATATTTTTATTTTTTAAAAAAATATTCATAATTTACTACTAGAGTCCCTTGTCTTCTTTAATGGCAATCCGTGCTTTCATAGCAGTGCCTTCTCAACCTGAGCCTTGACGGTAACAGTAGAATGACACATATAAATTTAGGACAAAAAAAATAATGTTTAGAATTGAATAGACTGAAATGTCTTCATACTTGACAACATTTAACCATTTTTATTGACAAAAGACCAAAAATTACCATGCTACAATAATATTAGGACCAATTGAAAATATTCTAAAAAAGTAACTAAAAGTAAAATGTCACATATAAATCTAGCACTAAAAATGAAATTAACTATATATATATAATGATTTTGTATATGTTAATGATGGATGGGAGTGCAGATGAATATGGTACTTCCACAATCAAGAATTGGCAGAGAATATTGTGCCGCCTTCACTACAATTTTCTTTGCTTGGCTAGTAGGTCCCTGCCAGGTGCGCTATATATTTGTTTAATATTATACATGCATACATACTCTACTACTCCACACCCTCATCATAACATACATACTCCTCCAACCAACCAAATTGGCTAATATTTCTTTCTGAATAATCTCAATTAAGTGGGTCAAATTATTTACTTATAAAATTAATTAAATTATTGATTTGATAATTATAAAATTACAAGTTCCATTTTTGGCAAGAGTGGTCCATTGACTTTTCTAGTTTAACTCAATCAGTTATGAACAATTTTAGTTTACCTTATTGTGATAGTTTGACTCCATTCCTGGTGAGAGTGGTCTATTAACTAGGGTCAGAATACAAAAGGGATGTTTGGTAAATGGTTGGTAGCTGCTAACTGATAGCTAATTGATTTTTCTGATATTTAACAGTTGAAAATAATCAAATCAGCCAAAAATTGGTTAATTAGCCCATAACCAAACACTTCAAAATTTATCCCGCCTATACCATCTAATAATGATTGCAAATTTTATTGTCACTCGAGAAAAATTAAATAACTCGTTAATGTTCACTACACAATTATGAATATGAAATCAGGTGAAGGAGGCAGAATTTAATGGAAGAAGAGAGAAGAACGTCGTCCACATACAGAAATGCAGGTTTGTTTTTTCTTATTCTAATACTAGCGGCTCTGGATTTCCTGTTTTATTTATTATTCTGGTAATCATTTCTCCCTATCCACCATTACATATCTACTTATCTAGCGATTCTAGCCCTTTAATAATAATAATAATAATAATAATAATAATAATAATAATAATAATAATAATAATAATAATTGTTATTGTTTTTTTTATTATTAAGAGAAATTACATTTTTTATCTCTAAATTATAGAGTAATTGTAAAATTTATCTCTACTTGTTGGTCTTGCTCACTTTTCGCTCCTAAGTTACGCATTGAATTTTTAATTTTGTTCTTTTATTAACTTCTTGTCCTCACTTTTCATCTCTAAGCTAACTTCTGGAGTTTACTTTTCCTCTCTAATGATTTGTTAATAAAGGAACAAAAAGTGTTATTTTTCCCTATTATTATTATTATTATTATTATTATTATTATTAAATTATATATTTGAATTAGGTTCTTAGAGGAGACCAATTGCGTTGGAATGTGTACCAACCTATGCAAGATGCCATCTCAAACATTCATCAAGAATTCTATGGGAATGCCTGTCAATATGGTCCCCAGTAAGTACTCTCTGCACCTCTTTTATTTGAGTTATATTAAATGACTCTCAATCTCTACTTTCCACTTTTACTCTCTAATGTAAGAAGAGATAATAAGTTATATTCATTTTGTAAATTCAAAAAAAAAAAATTATTAACATTAAAATTTTGAATGAGAAAGTAAAAATATAGAGTAGAACTTGAAAATTCATATAGTATTTTACTTTTATTTTATAGAAATAAAAATTGTTCCCTCTCGTAATTATTGAAATGCTACCCACATTTTTTCTTAATATCCAACTCTTGATCGATGAACAGATGATATTAGTACACACGCTCTTATAGGCTATTATTTCTCATGACACATACACACACACATAGGGAAGGTATCAGGTGCGGGAATGACTTCCCGTGCGATTGTGCGGTTGTGAGAACTGAAAAGAAAAAGAAAAATTAATGACATTTTCATAAATAACTCTAATTTTAAGTGCACGTATTTAACACCACTAGAGATTGCATCTCATGATATATGAAAGTGTAGTAAGAGAATTCAACTTTTATAGTTTATGGTTTAGTTTTTTTTTTTTTTGGTTTAAGATTTAGTTTTTTTTTTTTTTTTTTCAGTTCGATTTAGAAGTTCACTTTTTATTTTTTTTTTAGAGTTTACTATTTATGGTTTACCTTTTGAGGACATCTAGGAATACTATAAAATACACCGATTAATAGTATAAGATGCACCCAGCAATACTATAAAGTTCATCCTATGTGAAAGTGCACTACAAGGTTCACCTTTTAGAATTTATGATTTTTTTTCTTTGGTTTAGGGATTTTTATTTATTTTTTAGTGTTTAGGGGTTTAGTATTTAATGGTTTAGCTTAAGATTTAGTTTTCTAGTTTAGTTTTTAAGATTTATCAATGTATGTACTTTGTAATTTTGATAAAATACATTCTATAATGTCTAAAATTGTACATACAAAAATGTCACCACATTTTTTTCTTTTCTTTTCTTTAGAACCGTTAGATCTTCTCAAATTGACTGCTCTAATTAATTGGTTCTTAGCTTTCTCATTGGCATATGTTTTAACACGATCGAGTGCGCCCATTGAGAGAGTGCATTCCTAATAAGGATAAGTCTCATGTGAGACGGGTCGGGGTCAATATGAAAAGTGTAATACTTTTAAATTAAAATTTAATGTTTAGGGGTTAAGCAATTAGTTATGAGAAAATGTGTAATACTAATCATGGATCATTTGAGTGATTGTTACTTATGAGATCGAGAAAGTGTAATATTTATGACAAAAATTTTAATATTTTTGTATGAAAGATGTAATACTTTTAAATAAAAATGTAATATTATTAGAGGTTGAAGAGTAACTTATAAAGAAAACTGTAATATTTATGATGGAAAGTTTAATACACTTATGAAAAAACCTGACACGTATCACAAATTCTCTTTCGTGTTGTCGTGCATGAGACGGTCTCATAAGAGATTTTACCTACTGATAAACTCTAAAACCAAAACAAAAAGAAGAACTAACCCCTAAAACTTAACCATAAATGCTAAACCCTAAATAGTAAAAAAATGAATCCCTAAACAAAACTAAAATAAAATAAAATAAAATTCTAATCTAAACCATAAACCCTAAAATGTGAACTCTAAATATAATGTGCTTTCACACCGGATGCAAATACACTCTATAGTGTTATAAAATACATCTTAAAAGTTTGAATTATTTATCAAAAATTTTTGCATTTTTTCCCTCCTTAGCTCTACAACTGTTAGATCTTACCAAATGAACAGTTAAGATTGATTAGTTTTTTTTCATATACACACACACACACACACACATAAGCTAACAGCTAATTTACCAAACATATTTCTACAATCAACTAATACTACTCACTAATTAAGTCAATTAGTTAACAGTTATTTATCAAACACCTTCAATGTATTTTTTTTATTAACTAAAAGTCTAAACTAATAGTTACACTTAGACTTAGACTACATTGTTGATGTAAAACTATTTATCTTATAAGATTATAATTGTACTGTTGTACCTGGAAGTACAGTGGGTGCACTAGAATATGGATGCCTTGTGTATCAGTTGAATGGAGGTGAAGCCCCACCAGAATTAAGGAGAAATTAACCTGCTTAAGAATCATGATAGCAAGGTTGAAACGTATGTAGGACAAAGGGAAAAACAAAAAGAAAATACAATAAAATAAAATAAAATGTTACACCTACTTCATACTCTTTACGTCAATTAGGTAAAATACAATCTCGCTAGTAATAATTATAACAAGTGCTTACTTTTACAATTAAAAATAATCATGTCCCTCCATTACCAAAACCTATTCCTCCTCTCATCTCCTCGTGTGTGTAAACTACTTCAACTACACCATATATATATATATATATATATATATATATATATATATATATATATATATATATAGGAATAAGGTTCAAATTGGCCACTGAACGTAATCTGAAAATGCAATTAGGCCACTGAACGAAAAAAAAGTGCAATTAGGCCACTGAACACTCCAAAAATGTGCAATTTCACCTGATAGCAGGTTACCCTCAATTTTAGCAGGTTATCTGCTTACGTGGCAGCTGAGTTGGCATTTTAAATAAATTTTAATTAATTTTTAATAAATTTTAATAATAACTTTTTATTAAAAAAAATTTTAAAAAAATAAAAACGACTTTATTTTATTTTTTATTTAATTTTTTCCAATTTTTTATAAAATTTATTATTAAAATTAATTATTAAAAATTATTTAAAAATTATTAAAAATGCCAACTAAGCTGCCACGTAAGCAGGTAACCTGCTAAAATTGATGGTAACCTGCTATCCGGTAAAATTGCATACGTTTGGAGAGTTCAGTGGCCTAATTGCACATTTTTTGAGTGTTCAATGGCCTAATTGTACTTTTTTTTCGTTCAGTGGCCTAATTGCATTTTCAGGTTACGTTCAGTGGCCAATTTGAACCTTATTCCTATATATATATAATCAAACATACATATCGGATGGGTCAAATTCAACTTATTGCAAGTTAAATTAAAAGTAAAAAAGTAAATATCATGTGCTAATTTATTTATCATTGTAACTCCGACCCTAACATTAAAAAAAATTATTATTATTTTTAGGAAAAATGGCACTTTTTACCCCCGAGTTATATACTTATAGCACTTTTCCCCCCTCAATTATTTAAGTAAGCACATTAGCCCCCTCAATTATTCTAAAAGTGGTGTTTTTCTCCCTAATATATTAAATTGACATTTATACCCTTAAAGTAAACATTTTATTTATTTTACTACTCCAACAAATTATTGCGTATACGTAGAGATGACCACGGTTCGGTTTGAATTGAACCGGATACTAAAGCAATCAAATTAATAATTTTCGGTTATAATTCAGATCTAGAACCCAATATTTAAATGTCAATTTATTAAAATTATGTATCAAAAAAATTGAATCTTGAACCGTGAACCGGCGGTTTTGGATCCGATTCGCGATTTTGAACCGTCTTTATTTTAAAATTTTGTTTTTTATTTTAAAATAGTCTAAATTCAACAATAAATATATTTTATTTTTTCAGTTCGGAACATGAACCGTCCGTTCCGGTTCACGATTTTAATAAACTCTAAATATCGAATTTCGATTCTAAATTGTAATTGGAATATTTCGGGTTGGTTGCTATAGTGTTTGTTTGGTTTGAACCAAATTATGGTCATAATTTGTTGGAGAAAAAAATAAATTAAATATTTAATTTAAGAATAAATATGTCCATTTAACATTTCAGGGGAAAAAACAGCCACTTCAATAATTTAGGGGGAAAAAATGCTATAGGTATATAACTCAGGGGGAAAAGTGTCATTTTCCCTTATTTTTATATTAAAAGCAACTCCCCTTTCTCCTTGCCTTTCTCTAGAAAAATTTATGAATAATTAATGAATATAGTTGTGGCATTAATTAATTAAAACATAAATAGTGTAATTAGTTCTCCCAAAAGATTGAATCTCCAATCTCAAATGTCCTGTCGGACATTTGGGAGAATGTAAATCACAGTGACTCATCACTGGCTCAGCAGACAGGGCCAAATGCTGATGCACACAGGGGATTTGTCCCTTTTGGACATAATCTCACACTGCCTTCGCCAAAGTTTAAACATTGGTCTCTTTTCCTAAATACTATCTACTGAATCATTGAGCTAAGCTCGTGCAAGGAACAGTGGCATTAGTTGGTATGACTTTTAATGGGCAAATAATAATTTGTTTATATATATTAATTAGGTTTAGTGGGGTTGAATTGTTTTGCAGATTTTGAAAATATGAGCTGTGAGATGATATTTGGGCAGGATCCTCCCTCAACATCTCATGATCCAGCAATGATGCAGCCATGCTACAAATTATGTAACTCAAAGAAAAAGCACCACAACAATTGCATCACCTAATAACTTTCACATATATGGAACATCATATCTTCAGCTCACTCACAGATTAATATATGGATGATTAATCTTAGTTTACTATATATTATTGAAATTTTTTGTGAGACTAATGTAAAAGTGAACTATTCTTTAGATAGATTTTGTACACAAAACGCACTCCATATACTACCACAATTATTATTATGTTACGATGTTTTTACTTAAATGGTTCAGTTCTTTTTAGGTTACGAGCATCAGTACTGATGGTTCAAATTTAAGATTTAAAAGGAATTGTGGAAACACGTGGTCAGTAGTATGCGACAAAATTGATCAATTAATGGCCTACAAATGGAATATTAAAGTCTTTGATGAATTTAAGATTAAGATGACTACCTTTTGCATATCAACTTACAATTAAATGGTTAAGCAAAGATGTATTGTGTAGGGTTGAAGGGCAGCAAGAGTGGTTCAAGTGTGTCTGCCAATTTCATGAACTCATATTTATGGTGTCTTTTCTTTTCAACAGCAGAATAATCAGCCTAATAATTTTAACCAGACGTACACTTCGCCCAATCTTTCATCCATCTCATTCAACAAATCAATGATTGCAAAATAATGATGAAAATAGCAGTGCAACCGTCTAAAAATATAATTGACACCTCACAAACCATATTATATTGCAATTTGTGAGTGCTGGGAATTGAATGTATATGACTATATTCCATCTCAATTTTTATTTACTTGAGTGCAAAAGGCAAAATTTCTCGCTACAGAGCCTCAACATCCCAACCTTACAGATATGGTGAATAGGGAGTATCAAAGTGGACCAAAACCTACAAGCCAACCCGGCCTAAACCACCTCACGATGTGGCGAGTTAGGACCTAATATTAGTATATATATAGTAATAATCAAATGAGATCATCTCTTCCCGTAAGACACTTTATAAATACACAAAAGTTACTAGACAAATACATACATGGTAGCTTGTATGCATTCATGTTGGGCGAATTACACACAATCTAATCTGATAAATTTATATATATAACATTAAAAAAAAAAACTAAAATACTATAATAAATTTATTTTTATTTTTTTTTAATTAGCTTGCTAAGCCCGTGGGTCCACTTGAGGCAGGCTAGGGTTGAAAAATTCTAGCCCACAAACCGACCTACAAAAATTGAGTTGTTATACCACAGATCAGGGTCCACCTTGCATGGTAGGCCCTGGTCCAAAACGACATATAAATTGTGTATTTTTAGTATTGGAATTGTAAACTTCTAGAATATAAATTGTGTTTCTAAGTCAAAACACATAACAACTTTAGAAGGGAATTTGGGAATACAATACAGAGTCATCAATTACTAATCTGTTAATATTGTGTGACGAGTACATGTCTCATTTTTTACTCTCTATGATTTGGCATGCTTTGATTGCTCAATTAAATAGGAGGCCATGATATTTATCCATTCCTTTTTTTCTTTCTCTAATCAAATTTAAACACAAGTGGGAGTAAAAGTTGGAAGTCCTTAAGTATTTTTTTTGTGTGACTGTAGTATTTAAAAAGAACTTGTGAATACAAAACTAAATAATCAATGTTAACATTGTGTGTTCGTAGTATACAAATTGTAAATTTTTAAAACGTAAATTGTGAACATTTAGATCCAATCCAGCTTACAAGATGAACCCCAAGTCCCCAAAATAATTTGCCACAAAAATTACAACCTGCAACAGAACGGACTAACTCATATTGACACCCTTAATTGTGAATGAGTTAAATCACGGGAACTCAACTCTTTAGGTTGGAGAACTAGTACCTGATACCTACAACGGCCACAAGGAGACCACCCCTATTATTGGATTAATTTACTAAATGAAATTTCCCTAACTTCAGTTTAAATCTCCTTACACATGTTAAATTCATACTCAAACTTACCAACTTACAATAATATAAAGACTAAATTGAACATTTTATATTAATATAATACTAAACCTATTAACATCCATTAAGGTTCTCATTGCATAAATAAAAGCAAACTTTTTCAAAATGTAAGTAAAACCCCCTACATATGAAATAGCATTCATAGGGGAGGATAAACAAAAAACCTAAAACAAAGTCAGTCATCATGTTAAAGATAAATAAACGGCCAAAACCAATATAACTGTATCCTGACATCATGATTCAGTACTTGTGACTTGTGAGCATAACCTCGCCAACTAATCTGTCCCATTTCCAGGACTTATGTCCTCATAGGAAACCAAACCCCTCTTACCATCTGGGGAGCTGGATCTGGATCTGGAACTATGTGATGCATTCCTTGCATGCTTCCTGGGAGCAGTTTCAGGTGAACTAGAATGAGATGCACCACGGCTTCGTGACCTCGATTTCGACCTTCCTCGACTTGATGGTTTCTGGTTATCCACTCGAGGCCCAAGCCGAGACTTTAACCTATCACTAATTGCTGGCCGCCTATCCACAGGGCTACGGCTGCGTGAAGGGGACCTGTTGTGCTTTTTGCTTGAGGGGGAATCATTAGGGCTTCGAGATACACTCCTACTTCTACCCCTGTATCGGTATCTAGTACAGACAATAGAGCAAATGTTTAGTCTTTTAATTAATCTGATAAAACATAACTACATGCACTCATGAGAGAGAGAGAGAGAGAGAGAGAGAGAGAGAGAGAGAGAAACCTAGGCGGACTCCTCCCTTTTGGAGAACCTCTATAGCGTCTTGGTGGAGAGCGATCAGAATAGTTTCTGTAGCTTGAATACCTAAAAGAACAAAACCTTTTATGTAACTCATGGCAGCCTTCAGGTCAGACGAAATATTCATTGAACATCCTTCACTTACCTATTATCACGATTTCTTTGAATGTTCCTTCCACCATAATAGGACCGATAAGGTTGGCGTTCTGGAGATGGGGTGCGATAGCGTCTTGCAAAGGAATATTCTTTAGTAAAGCCACGCCCTTTCCTAATACGTTTGGAATTTCCATCTGGAGATTTATGCGCAGGCCGTTCAGCAGGACTTTTAGACCTCTCTCTTGCTTGGCCAGATGTTTTAGGGCTCCCACCATCCTGTTGCAGCCTAGGGCTTCCCTTAGGACTCACGCTTGGACTGCGTCGTCTTGATCTTGGCCTACCCTCAGGACTTGGTGAAGCACTCCTGCATATATAAAACAAGGTTATACACTTCAGTGGAAACAAAACAACAGGCTTAGACATCCACACACAATAACGCCATCATAAACAAAACTTCGCATAGCAAACCTGGACTTGTTCAAATTATCAGAATAATGACTCCCAGGGACAGGTCTATCACTGCTTAAGTCTCTGCCGTGACCATTATTCACAAGTTTATCATTCTTCTTAGAAAATTCACCCTCTCCTGTCGAATTTCCCTCTCTTTGCTTTTCCTTTTGCAGCTTTCTCCCAGCTTTTCCAAGCATTTGTGACTTATCCAAATCTGATGAAATGAACACACAAAATTCTAGAAGCTTCAATACAAAAGCCGTGCAATCCAATTCAAATGTCAGCACACTCCTTTACCCCAAGTCACAAGTGAAGGGGGGAAAAACTAAGGGGTCAAGGGGTTCCATAATTTGTGGCAAAGGGATGCAACAATGAGACACCAAACTAACAAATCCCTTTGTGGTTCTAATGTTGAGAGCATATTTCAAGACTTGCCTTTATGCGCAGATCCACGCCCACGGGCATTTTCATCATCTGAACTGCTATCACTGGCGCTGGTACTCAGACTGTCTGTACTGCTGGAACTCTCAGAACTCCTGGTCAAAATGTGAAGTTTCAAAAGGCCAATATTAGATAATACTGTGAAATGGACCAGTTGCAAAAGAAAAGCAGAATAGTGTTTCTTTTAGTGAAGAAAATTGTGATACCGTTTTGTCTTGCGCTTCACTCTTTTATGACGGGGATTCTTTCTCCTTGCACTCCTTCCATTCCTCCCTTTCTTTGCATGAAGATTCCTCCCTTTTTTTGATAACCTCCTCCTTTTTTTGTGCCTTCCATAACTAGAAGAACTTGAAGACTCTGATTCAGAAGAGTCTGAACAGGAATCAGTGTCTGAAGAGTAGGTGTCAGAATCTGTGTCAGAGCTGTAGGAATCAGATGAAGAGTATCTCTTTCTCCTCTTCTTTACACCTCTGGCAGACTTCTTGTGTTTATCTTTTGCTGGACTATCAGAGCCATCGTCAGAAGAAAGCTCTCTCACAGACTTTTTCTTTTTAGCTGGATATCAGTAGTCAGGTACCAAAGACAAATGTATAAGAGATGAACCATATAAATGCAGCAATAGGATAATGCAGTTCACATTGAAGCTTAAGACTAAATTGGGTATCAAACCCAATAATACCTTTATCATCTCCAGTTTTGCCATTAGTCTTACTCTCTGAGGTTTCACCACAATCAACAATTTTCACAAGCTCAGATGTTTTTCCATCAGCCGTTCCCACCTGTTCCATTTTCTTTAGGATATCCATTCCCTTCACAACCTTTCCAAAAACAACATGCTTCCTACACATGAACAAGAAAAATAAAATAAATAAATTAATAATACGTTTTTCCCTCAACTATAAAATAGCATTTTCATTTTGTCTTTTACTATCAATTTAAGTCCAGGGGTGGAGCCAGAAAAAATGTTGAGTGAGGGCGAAGATGCACATTAGAAACATCAAGACAACTGGGCTAAACAGTTCTTCAAAAGTAAATTTTGTTTGAATTAATTTTTCGTAATTGAATCATAAAACTTATTTAGAATGTTAGTAACATTCCTCTCGTAAATGATTTGGCATTACTCCATGTTAGCAACTTATTTAACTATTCATCAATCATCAAGTGAACACATCAATTTAAGTATTATGTTGAGAACATTCATCAATTCGTCTAACAACCATTTAATCAATTAATCTAATAACATACATCAATTTACCAAGTTGTAAAAAGTAAAAACATGTATATGTCCGCAAAATCATAAATAAATTTGATACTAACTAATAATTTTTTTTTTAAATATCTGATAAATTAACATTCATAAATAAATAAATTAACTAAATGTAAAAATAAACTAATAAGTTTTTATAACAAGTCCTCTCATTTAATCATAATACACATGCTAGTTTAATAATTAAGTCCTCTAATACACATAGTGGCTTCACCATTAAATTTAACC